GTCTGTCTGTCTGTCTGTCTGTCTGTCTGTCTATCTATCTATCTATCTATCTATCTCTTATCATCTATCATATCTTCTATGTCTGTCTGTCTATCCATCCATCTATGCATCCATCCATGCAATCTCCTAAACCATTCTTTGCCTCTCTCTCTCTCTCTTTCTCTCTCCAGGGGTCTTCCTTGACACCGAGGAAGGTGAGTTTGGGGCCACGTTTTCATGCTTTCCCGTACAGGTGAGACCTTGGCTTTTGAACCGCAGTTGGGAAGAGAACTTCCATTGCTCCAGAAGGAGAATTAAGTCAGCCATACGTAATCGTCAAAGGCGAATCGGTGACACTTAAGGGAATAATGGAACGACTGCTGCAAAAATGCCAAAATATCCGGGGGTGGGCATGGACTACCCCTATTTTTAAAAAAAACTTTATTTTTTTACTTTTTTAACTCCCACCTCCACCTTCAGGGGGCCTGGACCTGCTGAACCTGGGACTCAGCTCCGACGGAGGAGAGTCGCCTCCCGCCAACGGCGGGCAGGTAAGGAAAATGACGGTGTTACGGGGTGGATCTCTGATCCAGCGCCTGGAAGGAGGGATTGAAACAGGATTCGGGGTGGTCCATCTGCAGGAAGGACGACAGAATAGCTCCGTGGAAGCTGAGGAAGTTATAGACACGGTCACCCATGAAAGTTTTTTGTCGCGAAACAGAGAAATACGGGTATAATACAAAATGAGCAGCTGTCTTTTTTTAAAGGATTTTATTTTTATTTCTCATGCATATATTCACAAATATACATTCTGATAGCTATTGTTATATGTCATCCTTTTAACATTTATAATTCCATTCTTCCCCTAAAGATTTAACGGTATAATCGAGATTCCTTTCCTGCCATCTTCTTCCCTCCCGTTTTCTCCTTCCCTCCCTTCTTCTCTACTTTGTTCTTTCACGCTCTCCTTTCCCTTTTCTTCTTCCCCTTCCTCTCCCCTACGTCTGTCCTACTCTGACTACCCCCTCCCTTTCTTCCTCTCCTTTACTCTTTCTTCTTTCCCTCTCCTCTCTTCCTCTCTCCCTTCCTTCCTTCCATCCATTGTTGTATTTACATATTTTCCGGGCAAACAATAGATACGAACTCAAGGCAAAATTGCTCCAGACTCGGCTGCAGAAAATATGACTTCGGCAACAGAGGGGTCAACGCCTGGAATGCTCTACCTGGCTCTGTTGCAGAAAATGGGCTGTTTTTCGCAAAAACGAGGGCGTTTTCCCCTTCCCCCCAGCCTTGCTGAAGCCTGCAGAATGCTTCTGGAGGCTGGGAGAAGGCAAAAACGCCTCCGTTTTTGCAAAAAAACGAGACCTCTCTAGGACTGGCATGAGCAAACTATTTAAAAACGGGGGGGAAATTACATTTTTTTTTTTTCAATGAAGATGATAGAACTGGTACATTCACGTGTCCGGCAAATTTCCTAGCTATTCGTCTGAACTGGTAGAAATC